TTATAGTTGGTACAGATGTTTTAAAATATTACTTGCTCATTACTATTTTGAAAATATAGTAGTTAATAAATTCTTAATATTTCATGTGTAAAAGAAAAGCACATCCCTGGTGTTTTATTATTTTTTTAATGTTGTATTCTAGTGTAATTAGGCTTTAAAATAATCCTGTGTGTTGTTGTTTTTTTTTTAAGATTTTATTTATTCATGAGAGACACAGTGAGAGAGAGGCAGAGACACAGGCCGGGGAGAAGCAGGCTCCATGCAGGGAGCCCGATGCGGGACTTGATCCCAGGACTCCAGGATCACGTCCTGGGCCAGAGGTGGTGCTAAACCGCTGAGCCACCCAGGGATCCCCTGTTTGTTTTTTAATGCACTTACAATGTTACTCTGAGTAAGAGTCTGTGAGTATCATGCCAAAGGAGGCTGTGGAACAGAAAAGATTACAAACCCTGAGTTAGAAGGCCATTGCTAACCTGTGTCTTAAATTACAGAATCTTTGAGGACGGAGATTTTAAGTTTATGTATGTATGTATGTATGTATGTATGTATGTATATGTATGTATGTAATCTCTACATCAAACATGGGACTTGAACTAATGACCCTGAGATCAGAGTACCATGCTCTTCTGACTGAGCCAGCCAATACCCCCAGGACAGGGATTTTTAATCATTTTATTTCCTCAGTGCTCACAGTATCACCTTAGTAAAGCTTTCACACTCTAGATTCTCCTTCACAGAACACAGGGCTAATGTGTTGGTAGCATCTCCACCCTTCTGTACGGCTCTGTGTCTCACTGTGACTCTACTGCTGCTAGGCCTTCCCAGCGGAAACTTCTCAGACTGTCCACAGCCATCTGCAGTGTTCTTGGCTCTGTGGACTGTGAGTCCTTCTGGAGCAGGGATGATGAATACAGCGACTCAGTAAGCGTCCACTGAATGAGTAGTATCCAAAAGGTGTGCATCCAGAAGGGAGACCCAGAGCTCTGGGGTCCAGAAGAAAGGACTAGATCAAGTCAAGTCCCCCTCTTGAGCCCAGAGGTCCCTGGAGCATGGGAACGAACCAGACTTGGAACGTGAAGGTGGAGACAGGTCCTCCCTTTGGAGCCCAGCTAGCCATCTGACACTCCCTTGTCAGAGCTTGGAGAACCTCAAGAATGCAGAAGGCCCAGATCTTCTGCTTCTCTAGTTTAAGAAGATCAGAGGAGAGCTAAAATTACTGCCACCCTGGGAAAACCTAGAAGGGACCATGGAGACTTGCTTGGACCTTGAGGCCCGGGGAGAGATGTGAGAGCTCAGGAGGGGAGTGTGGTGGGAGAGTTGGAACCAGGTGTGGAGAGAGGAAAAGTGAGGCGGAGGAGAAGAATCCAGCATGTGAAGCAGCAGACATTGCTAGGGTCCTGGTAGATGGTCTGTGAGCCCAGGCAGGGGCCACCCCTTCTCATGGCTAGATGGTCTGTGAGCCCAGGCAGGGGCCACCCCTTCTCATGGCTTCCTTCTCCCGCAGCTGTCCACTCTCAAGCCTCAGCCCTTTCTCAGGATGGGGAGGACAAGACCCAGTTTCAGGTGGGTTGAGATCTCTTTTCTCTCCAGAAATGACACATGAGGTGTCAGAGCGTAAAAATATCCCCCTCCCTTGGGAGAAGAGATGAGAAAACAGTGTATTGAGCAAGTAATGGCATTGCTCATTGCATTTATCCACAAAGTAGCTATGTGAGAGAGATGGTAGAAAGGAAGAAACGAGTGAGGAATCCTGGACTTGAACCCTGGTCAGTATGGCTGTAATTTGCCATTCCCCTCCTTGTTCTCCTGCCAATCAATAATCATTTCATCTAAAGGCCTGAGCCTAAATCATACAGAGAGGTGATGCTCAAATAATGAATCTTTCTCTGCCTGAGCTTTTCTCCTCCCTGGGACGTTTTCTCTGATTTCTTTACAGAGGTCATATTCTCCAGGTAATACACCCTACTAGTACCCCAAAGTTAAAAGAGAACATACTAGAGTCACCTGGGTGGCTCAGTGGTTCAGCGTTTCTGCCTTGGGCTCAGGTTGTGATCCCAGGGTCTTAGGATCAGTCCCCCACAGGGAGCCTGCTTCTCCCTCTGCCTATGTCTCTGCTTCTCACTGTGTCTCACAAATAAATAAATAAAATATTTTAAAAATCATATTAGGGGAAAAAATGCCATCTATGACAAAATTATAAATTATAATCTTTGTTTTTGAAAGAGAGGTTGAAATAAAGACCCAAACATTCTTAGGAAGGAAGAAAAGAAACACAAATGGCCTATAATTATATGAAAACTGATCAACTTCTATCAGTCAAGGTAGTACAGATTGAAACAAGGTACGATTTTTTTTTTTTTAGCAGACAACCAAAGATTTGAAAGATCAGAGCTCAGTGTGAGCTGAATGGAGAAACGGGTATATTGCACAAAATTGCAAAAGATATTTTTAGCCTTTAGTTCCACATATGTTTGCTCCAATATCCCCCAGTCTAGAGGTTCATTCCAAATCAAAGCAAGTGTTCACAGAATAATCATTGCAGTGTTGTTCATAACAGCAAAGGAAGAAAAAAAATGTAGCGGAGTGGACTCCATATCCATCCTTTGGGTTGATGTTAGATTATTATAGTTTCATTTGTTATCTTGTCTAGATTTTGTGCTGCATCTAGTGAGATAAAGTGGATGAAGCTATTAGGATGTAGAAAGATATGCGCGCGCATGCTCTCTTCTCTCCGTCTCATACACATCCACACACAGTACATACCTGCATATGTGTTAACATTTTTTTTGAATCAAAAGAAAAAAAGCAATTGTAAAATTTTAGCTACCTATTTTTTTTCAGCACATGCGAGATTCTTTTATAAAGCTTTCTTTTTTATGGAAAAACATTATGGAAGAATTTGGAAGCTTAGTCACTTTTTTTCAATATAATTTTAAATATGATTGGTGAACTTGCTCTGAGAGCTGAAAATACCGTTAATTACTGTCATTACCTTCTTCTTTTTTTTTTTTTAAAGATTTTATTTATTTATTCATGAGAGAGGCAGGGACACAGGCAGAGGGAGAAGCAGGCTCCCTGCGGGGAACTCAGTGCAGGACTCCATCCCAGGAACCTGGGATCACGCCCTGAGCCAAAGACAGATGCTCAATCACTGAGCCACCCAAGTGTCCCCGTCATTACCTTCTGATTTGTCAGCATGGATCCCCACAGTGGACTTGTCTCAGTTGTGTATATAGAAGTCGTTGTCTGCCACCTGTCATTTTTACCCGTTTCTTCATTCCTGGCTTCATTTTGATTTATCTGTTGGTGTGCTTAATGTCATTCCCCAATTTGCATTTCCCAGAGAAAACTTGTAGATGCCGTACCCACTGAGCATTCCCATGCTGAGAAATGTCTGTTGCCTTTATGCCCAAATGGCAAATTGCCTGAGCTGAAAATTCATCATTCATACCTTGAGAACTGGTCTTCAGTCTTGTGCTGGCCTTTTTTCTCATGGCCTCTCCATTCATCTCCTGGTGAGCAGAGTTTATTCTGGGTTCTTAGTTACTTCAGCAGTTTTTTTCCAGAAAGGTCTGTTGTGTTTATACTTGACAGCGTCTTGGCTGAGTGTCATTTTCAAGGTCATACCTTAACTATCCTTGCTCTGCAGTCTTTTGGCATTAATTCTTTTTCTGCCTAGATGTTACTACTATGACTATTACTGTTAGTAATAGTTACTATTATTTTATTCATTTGGTCCTACTGGAACTCCTGTTATTAAAGGTATAAATTCTGGATCTGCCTTCCCTATCCTTTAATTTTTAATCTCCTCTTTGGTTTCCATCATATTCCAGGAGGCTCTCCTTTCCACTGCTTGTGCTTCAGTGATGTTCATTCTGCTGGTTAGCTCATCTCTTGAGCTTTCATTTTCCCATAATCATAGCAGTGATTTTTTTTTTACACTTCTAAGAATTCTGATTAAATCTGAGGGGGGCAAGATTTCCCCCAAGGCTTTATCAGTACTAAACATTTTTGCTAATCTTATAGAGGAGGGGGTGTGGCTAAGACCTTCCATGTCTTTTGCAGCTCCTCACACAGTAGGTACTGATGAGCACCTTCCCTATGTTTGCTGTAGTTGTATTTTCTCATCTGCAAATTCCTTATGAAATGCTTTTGCCCATTTTTCATTAATGAAAGGTGCTCTTTCAAGAGTAGGGTTGTTAACTCGCCTATCAAAAGTGTTACAGTTAATTTCTCTCAATCTTGACTTTGTGAGGGGTGAGTTGACCATGTGGAAGTGTAACATTTTCACAGTTAAATGATTTGTTAGTTCCCTTTTGAAAATGTGGTTTCATGTCCAGCTGCCAAAGGCTTTACCCATTCTAAGCCTAACCGAAAAGGCACCTAAATAGTTTTTATTTAAAAATGTTTTAGGGGTCAGGGCACCTGGGTGGCTCAGTTGGTTAAGCATCTGCCTTCAGCTCGGGTCATGATCCTGGGGTCCTGGGATCGAGCTCCATATCAGGCTCCCTGCTCAGCAGGGGAGTCTGCTTCTCCCTTTCCTTCTGCCCCTGCTCATGTGTACTATTTCTCTCTCAAATAAATAAATAAAATCTTAAAAAATATATGCGAATTAAAAAAAATGTTTTAGGGGCACCTGGCTGGCTCAGTGGTTGAGTGTCTCCCTTTGGCTCAGGTCGTGATCCCAGGGTCCTGGGATTAAGTCCCACATTGGGCTCCCTGCAGGGAGCCTGCTTCTCCCTCTGTCTATGTCTCTGCCTCTCTCTGTGTCTCTCATGAATTAATAAATAAAATCTTTTTTAAAAAATTAAAAAAAATAAAAATGTTTTAATCTCTAATATGGCTGTTTTTGTAAGTGGTGTAAGGTTGACATTTATTTGTTTTTAAGATTTTATTTATTTATTTATTCATGAGAGACACAGAGAGAGAGAGGAGAAGCAGAGACACAGGCAGAGGGCAAAGCAAGCTCCATGCAGGGAGCCTGATGTGGGACTTGATCCCGGGACTCCACGATCATGCCCTGGGCTGAAGACAACACTAAACCGCTGAGCCACCTGGGCTGCCCAAGGTTGACATTTAATTTCATTTTCTTCGAGATGGATAGCCAATCATGACAGTGCCATTTATTATATTTATCATTTATTTGCAAGTCAAGAAGTACTACTTTTATCATTTATACATTTTTGAACATATTTATGCATATATATGTATATTTAGTAGTATGTTATGTATACAGAGGAAGAGAAAGAACAGTTGATTTAGCTTTCCTCTGATGGGGCCGTTCCTGCATTCTGTACTCTGGTCCACTGAGTTACTTGTATGTCTTTGTATTGTTTTACTATTCATATTGAACATATGCTTTTGAAGTTCAGGAGTTGCTATTCTTCCTTTTTCTATTCATTCAACATTTGTCAGACACTTACTATGGGCCAAACATTGTTCTAAGCCCTGGTGATATATCAGGGAGCAACATGGCTAATACCCCTGCTTTCATGGGGCTGGCATTCTAGAAGATGGAGACAGGTAGCAGACAGTTTAGAAACAAGATTGTCACTCTCAAGTGTCTTGAGCAACGTAGGCAGGTTGAATTGAGAGAAGATTTCTTCAGTCATCCAAGCAAAGGATGGTGATGAGTTGGATTAGAGAGGTGGAAGTAATGATGAGGAGAAACAGATTTGAAGTATACTTTGGAATAATAATTGGCAGAGTTTGTTGTGTGTGTGTTTTTTTTTTAAATGAATTACATCTAAGGAATAAGGAAAAGGAAAGAATCAAGGGTGCCTTTAAGGTAGATGGTACTTGTGTTTACCCACACCAGGGAGATTAGAAGAGAACTATTTGAGAGGAAAGACTCACTTCAGTTTGGGCTGTTTCTGCTTCACGATACCTTTCAGACATCCAGGTGGTAGTTGAGTAGGCAGGGCTCGGTGTAGAAGGCATAGCTGGATATAGATTTGGGAGTTAGTGGCAGGTCCACATCTGTTTAATTGTCCGACTGGCTGCCTCTGGCCCAACCTTTCTCCCCATCGTTATGCTGCCTCTAGTCTTGGGGTTGATCTGGTATTCTGCTCAGAAATGTACTCTGTCGGTGCCACTCCTTCTCCAGAATGGGGAGGTCGGTTCCTTTGGTTTGGCCCTTCTGATCTCGTTGGGGCGGCAGGATAGCAGAGTGGTTTCAGCATGGTTAGCCAGGCTCCCTGACTTCAGTCCTGATTCACCACCACTTATTAGGTATATGGTCTTCGACAAATAACATTCGCTTTCTGAAACCGCAGTTTGCTCATCAGTGGAGTGGAGATAGTGCTAGCAGCTACCTTGTGAGTAGTTACTGATAACAGCAGATGAGAACGTTCCGATACTCCAGAAAGTTCTCACTTTCCGTGAGTTCTGAGAGGATTGAGATCAATCATATAAAAATACTTAGGCTAGAGCCTGCTTTACAGTCATTTTTCTATAAGACGGTATTAATGTCATCTGCTTTATAGACTCATTTCTGGTCCCCTGGTGACACACATCTTGGCCTTTACAGGACTGCTGTTAAAGTACAGTGCCTCTGCAACTAGGTTCTGTGTGTTCAGCTTGAACTAGACCTTTGTCTCTAACCAGCTGTGTGACTGTGGCTGGGTTACTTCACCTTTTGGTTCATGCAGGAGTCTCTGAGACCACCCCCATGTTCAGGGATTTTCCAGGACCCAGGGGCTCAGTTGTTGTTTTATTCATGGCTAAGACTTGTTAGAGCAGCACACCTGGTTGCACCTGGCCTCCTCCAGACCTCACCCCATATACCTTTTCCCTTTGCTGATTTTGCTTGGTTTTTGTTTTTGTTTTTGTTTTTTGTTGTTGTTGTTTTTTTTTTTTAATTTTTTTTTTTTTTTATTTTATTTATTTTTTGATAGTCCCAGAGAGAGAGAGAGAGAGGCAGAGACACAGGCAGAGGGAGAAGCAGGCTCCATGCACCGGGAGCCTGACGTGGGACTCGATCCCGGGTCTCCAGGATCGCGCCCTGGGCCAAAGGCAGGCGCCAAACCGCTGCGCCACCCAGGGATCCCTGTTGTTGTTTTTTAAAGTTGTAGCTGTGAGTGTGATTATGTACTGAGTCCTATGAGTCCTTCTCGTGAATTGTAGAACTTGGAAGTGAGCTTGGGGACCACCAGCACAAGCCCCATGGAAGCAGGGCTATTTTCTTCCTTATCTCTTTAATTCCTGTGTCTAATACTGTCTTATAGGTACTGAATATTTATGGAATGAGTAATATGTTGACAAGCATGCATTAAACCTTACTATAGCTACTTCAACTTCTTAAAACTGTATCCAAGAATTTGGTGAAAAAGTTAAGTATGTATAGAATCACAGCTCAACTTGTACCTTGTAATACCTTGTTACAGCTGTTCCAGGGACAGGCCAGAGGTAAAGTATAAGTCTGAAAGCCCTTACATGCACTTGTCTCCCTCTCAAGAAGGCATGCCACAGTCTAAGTGAAGACAGTGAAGCTATCACAATATAGTCGATCACCGTGTTTCAGGATTTACAACTGCTGTCCATTGTTTTCCTCAGTGGACCAGAGCAATCTGCTTAAAAACCTTGGGCCACGGTTCATAACTGAGGATGACACAGTGTGATTTGAAACTCTGCAGTTTGAGGTGCTGCTTTAGAGGCCTCATCTGGTTGTGGACATGGTTACGTAAACATATCCATTGGTCACTTCTGTTAAGTGCTGACATGGAAGCCTGTAAAAGGCGTGTGTGTGTGTACACATACGCGTGTCTGTAGGGGGCTGCAGGCTAGGGCCACAAAGAGCAGGATTCGCCCAGCTGCTGATGGAGGGGTGAATGGCTGGTTGGTGAAGAACAGTCACTCTGGCAGAGAGGGTGATTTTGGGGTATGTGCAGACATGCTCACTCCTAATGTTAGGTTGTGTGGGAACAATTATTTCAGAGGAAAAATGTGATTGAAGCATTGCAGTTTGATGGAATTGCCCTCAGCAGTGCTCACACTGAGCAGAGAGTCGTGTTCCTTGCTTTGCTCGTTGGGTAACCATGGACGATTGGTTGGTTAGAATTGACATTATTGGCATCAGACATCAACAAAACTAAATTTGACCTGCCAGACTGAGCAACTGCCTGCTTTCTTGCCTACTTTCCTTAGTGACTCTGAGTTTACCTTTCACCTGGTGGGTGTTTGTGTTTCACGGTGTACCATGTTTTAGGAGCCATTGACCTTCAAGGATGTGGCCGTGGTCTTCACTGAGGAGGAGCTGAAGCTGCTGGACCCTACCCAGAGGAAGCTGTACCGAGATGTGATGCTGGAGAACTTCAGGAACCTGCTCTCTGTGGGTAAGGGTAACGTCTGGGTAATGGATGCTTACCTTAATTGGAGTGTTCTTGTTCCCTGGGGAGAGGGCGTTTTTTGGTCTTTGCATACAGATTCAGTCCTCCCTTTTTTAAAAAGAACAACCAGTTATAAAGAAGTTTCACTTGGCCAATCTTGAGTCCTTTATGTGTCCTTCAAAGGCTTGAATGTTTTGGGATTTGGGCTACATTTTCTATTTTTTGCATCTCAAGAATGTGCTTAATTAAGCCTTTTATTTTAGAGCAACAACCTTCCAAACCTGGTAAGATACCCACTTTGGAAAAAGGCAGAAAGACTTAGGTAACAGAGAGAGAAAGTCCCAGAGATGCACACCCAGGTGAGAACCATGGAACTTGGAGTCCTGAACAGGCAGGGAGGAAGGGAGCTTGTCATGTAAAGGCCCCTTCTGACCCTTAATCCAGCCTGTAGAAACTACATACTATTGTAGGTGATTGTTCTACGATTTCATTTTTGCTACTCCGTTCCCACCTTCTCACAATTTCTTCATGCTTTTCAGACAAGGACATACCCACAGTGACCAAGGGGTACCTGGACTTGCCTCCCTCTGATAAGAACAGCCACGCAGTGTAAGACAAGCCAGTTAACTCCTCTATCCTACTTATACCCATTTAACCCGTTTAACCTATATATCCTACAAGTGCTCAGTTATAAAAAGATACATGTGATTTCAGCCCCTGAAGGTAAAAGTCACCCATTAAGAACTTCAAAAAGCAGGGACAGATTTTTTTTTTTAACTTATCTGGAACTACATAGTAAACATGACAATCTGAAGACTTGCAGTCAGTAACAGGGATATGTTGGGTATTTTTATGCCTCTGTACCCTGTATCATGTGGATTCCTACCAGATATGCTCCCAGAAGACTGGGACACAGCTGGTACACTTTGGAGGATTTGCTGCTTCATTCGTACCCCCGGGTTCAGCTCCTACATGCCCAGAATTAGAGTCACTCTGGGAGAGAGCACTAAGTATGGCTCTAAAACCCAACTTCTGTGTTCGACACCTCGCCTACCCCTACTTCACAGAATGGCAGAGTGACCGCACCAGGTTATTCATCCTCTCTGTGCCTTGGGTCCCTCATCTGTAAAGCAGAAATGGTAAGGATCCTTATCTCCATGTTATTCTGAGGGTGAAAGGAGTTAATGGGTGTATATTGTCAGCATCTAGGGAGTATTATGATAATGTTAGATATTATTATTTATAATTAGCAACAATGGCAGTAAGTGGAGAGGTGAATTTTCTCAGCAGAAATCTGTTCTGAATTTCTTTCTCTCTTGGCAAGTAGATGATGAGATGTAGTTTGGTATAGTAGGATCATACTCACATTTAGCTTCAAAACTTATTAATGAGAACGTTGTCTTTTTTTCAGACACAAAAGAAGTGCCCTGGTAGTGATGATACATACAGATGATTTTGCTCTAGGCTGTTTACCAGTCTGAGCCTGAAAACCTGACTTGGCTTGAGATCCCTGAACCAGTCTTGTATTTGTTCTCATCTCTGAATTGTCTTTCACCCCATAGGAGACAAGAATGAAAATGTCATGGAGTATATTCAAGAAAGAGAATTAAAGTGCCTTTCCTACAGAGAGCTCTCCTACTGGAAAATCTGGGAACAGGTCGCTGGTGAATTAACTGGGAGTCAGGACCATAGAGTAAATCTTCAAGGGAAAAGTTCCCAGTTCTCAGAAGACACTTCTCCCACCCAAGGGTGGCCAGGAATACCCACTCGGGGTTCACCAATGGATAGTTTTGTGGCCAGTCTTCAGGGACCCGTTGGTTCAGAAAATCAAGAATTTCCATCCTGGAATGGTGTAAGCCTGGTATCTGTTCAAGATTCTTGGATGAAAGCCTTTGTGAATGAGCCATGGAACACTGGAGAAAGGTGTAAGAAACTCGACAGGCAAGATACAGTATGTAAACCTGAGGGGGACAGTTACAGCTTCCACTGGATATCGCCTTGTTGCAATGACCATGGATTACCTGAAAGAGAGAGACCGTGTAATTGTGATATGTGTGTTAAAAAGTCGATTCTTCATCGCCCCGACTCCCAAGAGGATGACTGGAAAAGACTCGAATGTGGAAATGGCTTCAGGGGAGATTCACACTTTCCCACTCATCCAAGAGGGCCCTCGAGAGAGAAACCCCATAAATATGAGTTTGGTCCAAGCCTAAGGCCTACTGCCCGTCTGGAGAGACCTCAAAGGACTCCCGCAGGCGAGAAACCCCCTATAAGTAAGGAGTGCGGTCGGGGCCGAAGGCTGAACCCACGAGGGCCCAGCCGGCCCCGGGCCCCTGCAGGGGAGATGCCCTACCGGTGTGAGGCCTGTGGGAAGGGCTTCCGGTACCAGTCGATTCTCCTTATTCATCAAGGGGTCCACACGGGAAAGAAGCCTTACACGTGCGAGGAGTGTGGGAAGGCGTTCGGTCGCAGCTCCAACCTGCTGGTCCATCAGCGGGTCCACACTGGTGAGAAGCCGTATAAGTGCAGCGAGTGCGGGAAGGGCTTCAGCTACAGCTCAGTGCTGCAGGTGCACCAGCGGCTGCACACGGGGGAGAAGCCCTACACGTGCGGTGAGTGTGGCAAAGGGTTCTATGCCAAGTCTGCGCTCCACAAGCACCAGCATGTGCACCCAGGGGGCAAGCCCTACAGCTGCATCCAGTGCGGGAAGGGCTTCACCTGCAGCTCGCACCTCAGCAGCCACCAGAAGTCGCACACGGGACAGAAGCCCTACCAGTGTGACAAGTGCGACAAAGGTTTCAGTTACAACTCGTACCTCCAGGCACACCAGCGAGTTCACACTGGCCAGCGCCTCTTTGAATGCGACGTGTGTGGGAAGACTTTCAGTTACAGCTCGGGGCTTCTCCGGCACCAGAGGCTGCACACAGGAGAGAAGCCCTACAAGTGCGAGTGCGGGAAGGGCTTCGGTCGCAGCTCGGACCTTCACGTCCACCAGCGGGTCCACACCGGGGAGAAACCCTATAAGTGCATTGAGTGTGGGAAGGGCTTCCGGCGGAATTCAGACCTTCATAGTCACCAGAGGGTCCACACGGGTGAGAGACCCTTCGTGTGCGATGTGTGTGGGAAGGGCTTTATTTATAGCTCCGACCTCCTTATCCATCAGAGGACCCACACAGGAGAAAAGCCCTACAAATGTGCCGAGTGTGGCAAAGGCTTCAGTTACAGCTCGGGGCTTCTCATCCACCAGAGGGTCCATACTGGTGAGAAACCTTACAAATGTGAAGCATGTGGGAAGGGGTTCAGGTGTACCTCAAGTCTCTACAAGCATCAGCGGATTCACACGGGAAAGAAGCCCTATACGTGCGACCAGTGTGGCAAGGGATTCAGTTATGGCTCGAATCTTCGCACCCACCAGAGATTGCACACGGGAGAGAAACCCTACACGTGTTACGAATGTGGCAAGGGCTTCAGATATGGCTCTGGTCTCCTCAGCCACAAGAGAGTACATACCGGAGAGAAGCCATATAGATGCGACGTGTGTGGGAAGGGCTATAGCCAGAGTTCACACCTTCAAGGTCACCAGCGGGTCCACACTGGCGAGAAGCCCTACAAATGTGAGGAGTGTGGGAAGGGCTTTGGTCGAAGCTCCTGTCTTCATGTCCACCAAAGAGTCCACACTGGTGAGAAGCCCTACAGGTGTGGGGAGTGTGGGAAGGGCTTCAGTTACAGCTCAGGCCTGCGAAATCATCAGCGAGTGCACGTAAGTGAGAAACCTGACAAGTAGGCGTGCGTTGAGGTGGAACCTGAACTTATTCACCTGGCTGCCAGCGCAGGAGGAAGACTTTGTGAACATGATGTGTGGGGTTGGCTGCAGTGGAGGCTGACCTGGTCACCATGGCCTGGTCTGCAGAGGAACGGAAGACCCAGAAGTTTGAGATATGGGAAGGGAAGACCCAGAAGTTTGAGAGATGGGAAGGGAAGACCCAGAAGTTTGAGAGATGGGAAGGGAAGACCCAGAAGTTTGAGAAGTGGGAAAGGAAGATCCAGAAGTTTGAGAAATGGGAAGAGCACTTGAGTTTCACAATTCCATCTCCAAGAGTCTGTCGCTGGGCAGACTGTCCTCAAAGAAGTATGACAGGGACCTCAGTAAAAATCATCACTCTCATTAGAGTCGGCCCAGGAGGGAGTTTTTTAATAAATAATATGAGTGAGAATGTATCAAGGGCAGGTTGTAGACATGAATTCCTTGTGGGGAAAGGGGAGGAATACGTACAAATGGGACAAATGTAGGAAAAGGTGGTCACTTTACCAAAACCAATATTGTGTGTACTTTTTAGATTGGTTTTACAAAAATTGAAAGATGATGTTACCATTGGTTGAGGGAGGCCAGTTGCTTTTAGAAGACCAGCAACAGTTAGAGGGAGGGTCCCCTCTCTTGGCAGGTCTGGATGATGTGTCTCCATCACGTTTTTTTAATCACGTTGTGGTGAATGTTTTATCCCCTAGAGATAAACTTCTCTCTTGGAGAGGTTGTACTGAACTGCAGGGCCATTTCATTTTAACAGGTTGTTTTGTGTAAAATAGGCTCTCTGCCCAGCATGGAGCCCATCGTGGGGCTTGAACTCACGATCCTGAGATCAAAACCTGAACCAGGATCGAGTCAGATGCTTAACTGACTGAGCCACCCAGATGCCCCCTCATTTTATCAGCTTTTAAAAACAAAACAAAACAAAAAGCTGATTGGCATTGCATTGAATTTACAGGTTAATTTGTTTTATTGCTATCATGAGTATAATACTTCTGCCCTATTTCATTTTATAGTGTTTTTAAACAGGTGAGACAAATACTAGAGCATTTGAAAAAATCAGAAATACCATTTTAACTTGTCAGAATAGCCGTGGTAAAATAGCCACCACAGAATTTATTGATAGGAGTGAAAAAAAGTCTTTAGAAGGAATTTGTCAGTGTCTCAAGTTTAATTTGTATAGTCTTTGAAGTGGCAATAAGTATGTAGTAATTGATACTTGGAAGATAATTGCACATGTGGAAAAAGATGTATGCATATGGCTGAGTTTCTTAGCATTTTCTTACTATAGAAAAAAAGATGTTAATACTCCAAGTGTAATAAGTTAAGGCACATGTAAATGAGTGAAAATCACTTAAAATGTTCAAGTACACCTACGTTGACATTGAAGATTTCCCATAAACTATTTTGTGAGCCAGGAAAGTTGTAGAATAATTTTACTATGACCCTGTTTTGTTAATAGTTTTTTTTGTGTGTGTATGTTTATAGAGAGAGAAAGAAAAAAAATTATGAAAGGTTAGTATGATAACTGCCTATCTCTAGTAAGTGGGATGCAGGATGTGTAATATATTCGTGTACTTTTATGTGTTTCACTTTTTAACAAAGAGTATATATCAATTTTATAGCAATAGTAAAGCTATTTTTTAAAAAATTAATCGGATGGAACAGTGCCTTATGGTCAAAGATCCATGTCATAACCTCTATAATTTTGTTGTTGCCTTTTCTTTCTACTGTTTACTTAGCACCTACTGCCAAATATACGGTATGCAATGAACTGAGAAATTTGTGACAGATACTTTCAGAGGCTGCATAATTTTTGTTGGCTTGGTCAGAAATGAGGGTGGTCTGGATACTTGGGAGGAGCTTTGGTGCTTCACACTGCATCCTGGCCTCCTGGGACCTGCACTCCCAACCATGGCTTCGTAGAGGGCAGTACACCTCCGTGTGTTCACTCTACTCTGACTTCCTCATCTGGGAGACAGGAGACCTGGGGCACTGTGTGTGTGGGCTGAGCTCCTCTCTGCTGCCTACAGGAAGGTGGGAAAAGGGCCACTTTCTATCTAAATGAATAAAGAACATGTCTGGGGGTCAGAAGCAAAGTGGCGATAGCTGAAACAGTTAGCTTTCTGAAGGGGCCTGGAAAAAGATCTCCAGTGTTTTGTGAAAAAGCAGCTGCATCGTTCCAGTCGTGGAGTGGGTTTTATAGCCAAAGAACAAATGTAGACACCATCCCTGCAGGTCAGACTCTCAAGGTTTGTGGTTGAAAAGTTCACTAAATGGATTTCCAAAGAATGATGGCAGATTCTTTTTTTTCCCCCTGTAGTTTTATTTATTTATTTTTAAAGCTCCAAAATTTGAAAATTTTTTTGTTTGTTTAGTTTCAGGGGTAGAATTGCATATAACAGCCAGTTCTCATTATATCATATGCCCTCCTTAATGCCTGTCACCAACTTAACCCCGGTAGTAGAAGATGAGGTCAAAAAGGAGAGGCTGAAAGGGAATAAGTTAACTCAGATATGGAAGATTGACATAGTTATTGCAGTTATTATCAAGGCATTTATTAAACATCCTCCTCCATCCAATAGACTGTTTTAAGATCTGCCAAAATTAAGGGTGACTCCCATCTCTGTGGCAGATCTTACTAGATTTTAGATTTTTTTTTTTTTTAAGATCCCGATGAAACAAATGTGAAGGGCTAGGCCAGAAGAACTTCACTGTCCCCTTTATGTGCCATGAGTTGCAACACCAAGCTGTATAGCTGGATATTAAACTTCAGCTCCTGCCCACTGCTTGGTGGTGGGGGCTCTTCAATTATCTGCCTGGTTTAGGACCTGGGCTGGCAAAAAAGAGAGTATGTTCTCACCCGTTTTTCAGTCCTTTCTTCCAGGCCAGAACTGTGGGCCTCTAGTGAAATAATTATTCAGTTTTCTTACTCCATGAAGGCACAAAATAAGATATTTTAACAGTAATCTTAAAATGCAAAAAATAAGTCCCAACGGGGGAGGCTTCTCAAAGGGAATATAAAAACTTTCCATGTCTTCGTGATTTGTGGAAATATGTCTCATATAAGACTCCCACCTACCCAGACTCGTGCTGACCCCTGATTCAAAACGGAAGGCACTGGTGGTTGATTCTGCTTCTCTAGAGAAAGGGAAACATGATGGGACTGTCAGCTCTCTAGTGCGGAAGATTTTCCAGAGTGTCTTCAATAGAAATGGAAAAGGTATTTAAGTTTTACTTGAAAAATTGCATGTTTATGAAATTAGTATGTCCGCAGATTAAGAACCTGTAAGGGTTTTTCATTAGAATGGGGGAGGCAGCCGGGTTGCCCAGGTAGTGTTAAGCATCTGCCTTCAGCTCAGGTCATGATCCTAGAGTCCTGGGATCCAGTCCAGTGGTGTTGGGCTCCCTGCTCCGTGGGGAGCCTGCTTCAACCTCTCCCTCTCCCTCTGCCTGCCACTCCCCGTTTGTGCTCTCTAATAGATAAACAAAATCCTTAAAAGTAATAATTAAAGGGGGTCCCTGGGTGGCGCAGCGGTTTAGCGCCTTTGCCCCAGGGCGCGATCCTGGCGACCCAGGATCGAATCCCACGTCGGGCTCCCGGTGCATGGAGCCTGCTTCTCTCTCTCTCTCTCTCTCTCTCTCTCTCTCTCTCTCTCATTCTATGTGACTATCATAAATAAATAAAAATTAAAAAAATCAAGACCTCAAAAGTCCTTTAAAAAAAAAGTAATAATTAAAATGGGAATAATTGCTCATTTGCGGGTGATAGGATATTGAATCTTGCCCCTCCTTTATATCATGGGCAGAGAATGATTTGTCTTAATTATTGTTAACATTTCGCTTATTTTATCACTATTCGGATTGTTATTACTGTTTTAGATAAATGGGCAGAGCACAGGTGGCCGGGCAAGAGGGCCACAGGTCCCCAGGCTGCCACCCCTACCCCACGTGCGGTTTCTACGGCGGCGCAGGGGCTTCTGGGGATTGTAGTCCACAGGCTTCTCGCGCCTGCGCTGTGGGCCCGGGAGCTCGCTGTGGGCGGCATTGTTCGCGGCGCTGAGGTGAGTCAGGCCGGGACCGCCCCCCCCTTCGGAGGCGTCCCGAGCGAGGAGGGGGAAAGGTGCGTGTGTTGCTGGGACCCGGCCCTATCGACGTGTGGGAGGAGTTGGAAGCGGGGACTGGTGGCCAATGGAGGAGCCTCCTGGGCGGGGCGGAGTGTCGAGGGGGCTCGCCCGGCATTCCCTGGGAGGAGGTGGGAGGACTGGAGCCGGGTTTGGGGGAACTGACTCCGGCAGCGCCTCTGCAGGGATAGGGGCTGTGCGTCCCCGCGTCGGGGTTGCTGTCAGTCTCGGAATGTGCGTCTCTGGCCCGGGACCCGCACAGGAGGGCTTTGGCTCAGATTTGAGGGTTAACGGTTTGGGCCAAGCATCCCCTGACTGTGGAGAGGGATTGGCTCCGGCCGTCATCCCCGAGTGTGGGAACGGCTTGGGCTCCTCATTCCTGGCCTCGCTTGGCTCAGCAGCCCTAGATGCTCTTGGATTCTGAAGTTTGGGATTTGGCAGCTTTCTCTTGAGTCTTGGATCTCCGAGTTTGGGACTTGGCAGGTCCGACCCTAGGGGGGCATCTTTGTTACCCAAAACCCATCTTTGTTCACTTCTTGGTGGGTGTTGAGGCAAAAGACACAACTAAAGCCGGATTATAGGAAAAGGAAGGATTTTCCTTGCTACAAGTAAAGGGGACCAGGGGGGGTATTTTCCAAAGCAGGGTCTCCTGGAATAACAAAACTGGGGAAGTTTTAAGCTAATGGCTCATACATATTCATGAAGGGGCTTGTGTGCAATGAGAAATTCAGCCTGGAATTGGGGGACAAAAGTCATCATCCTAAGGTAACAGTCCAGGTCTAATCAAAGTCATGAGGGCCGGCAAGGGTCAGCATCATCAGTTCTCTGGCTCCAGTTGGTCTGGTATCTCGGTGCTCAAGGGGCTTTAGATCCTAAAAAGATAACTCAAGAGTGTGCTTCCCCTCACTTCACTTTTGAATCAGCACCGTTGAGTTTACCATTGATTGATTGTCCCTGATCTGAGCAGGCTATCTCCAGCTTGATAGTGACTGTTTATTCTTATACTCTTAAGTTCCTTTAATTAAAAAAATATTTTATTTATTCATGAAAAGCACACAGAGAAAGGCAGAGACATAAACAGGGAGGAGTAGGCTACCCGCGGGAAGCCGGATGCGGGACTCGATCCAAGGACCCCGGGATCATGACCTGAGCCAAAGGCAGATGCTCAACCACTGAGCCCCGCAGGTGCCCCTTTTTTGTTCCTTTAAATTACTAACTACTGAGGTCTATTGTGCAATTTCAACATATCCCAGGAAGTTCTGTGAGGAAGGTGCTTTGGGCAAGTAGTGCCAGTCAGGCTTAGATCTCAAGATGGCCAGGACCTAGAATGACTGAACTGACTTTTTTTTTAAAAGCTTTATTATTATTATTATTTTAATTTTTATTTATGATAGTCACAGAATGAGAGAGAGAGAGAGAGGCAGAGACATAGGCAGAGGGAGAAGCAGGCTCCATGCACCGGGAGCCCGATGTGGGATTCTATCCCGGGTCTCCAGAATCGCGCCCTGGGCCAAAGGCAGGCGCCAAACCGCTGCGCCACCCAGGGATCCCTGAACTGACTTTTTTTTATGTCAAGAAGCTATGTCTCCTCTTTTTTGGGGGACCCCTAACTTTTTCTGCTTACCTCTTGACTTTTCTCCTCTCTCTGATTAGAAATCTGGTTTCTGAATACTGTTTGAAGAGAACTGCCCCAAATTATAAACCCCATCCTCACCTTGCATGTAGTGAGGCAGGGAATGCAGACTTTGAGGCTTATGGGATACAGAGCAAATGGCAGATTGCTCGATTGCTGTCAACAAATTAGAAATTTGAGGGTCGTCTGAGTGGCTCAGCAGTTGAGCATCTGCCTTTGGCTCAGGGCATGATGCCAGGGTCTGGGGATCAAGTCCCTCATTGGGCTCCCTGCAGGGAGCCTGCTTCTCCCTCTGCCTGTGTTTCTGCCTCTCTCTCCCTCTCCCTCTCTCTCTCTGTCTCATGAATAAATAAATAAAATTTTTAAAAATTAGAAATGTGAACAGTGACTCTACATTTGATAAAATCAGAGAATTGATGTTAATTATTTTAGGTGTAATATTAGCACTTTTAGAACTATTTCATATCTTTTAGAACAACATAATGAAGTATTTCTGGATTACACAATATGGTGAATATGGTGTCAGGGATATGCTTCCAAATAATATGTATGTGGCAGTGGGTAGAGGTATAGTTAAAACAAGAGAGACCCAAGTGTTGATAATTGCTTAAACTGCATGATTGGTACCTGGGGGTTCATTAGACTATTCTATCTACCTCTGCATGTGTTTGAAATTCTTATGATAAAATATTTTTGAAACAATTTTCCAGTTAACCAGCTAGGAGGTGCCCTGAGAAAGCAGAAAAGGTTGGATTTACTCGTAGTTGCATATAGTATGTGGTGGCTAGATGTTGCGAATTCCCCCTCAAACTAGACCCCTGGGCCCTGGGAGTCACTGTGAGTTCAGGGGTGTGGTCAGAGCTTCAGATGTTTCAATAAAATCCTGAAGTTTTCTTCTTTTCATAATGAAACTGATTCATAGGTATTTTATGTCTCTTCTTTCCTTTTGAGAATGGGATAATTTTATCTTCTATCTCTGCAAACATAGGTGTGTTTTTCAACACCTCAAAC